ATTGCTACTGCTGCCTGCTGCTACTGCTAATGGTCGTGCTTGTATGACCCCTCACCACTGCCCAAAGCAAAGGGGCTGCTTTGGCTGTTCCGGCGCCCCAGGAACGCAACGAGGCAGTGAAAGAAGCTATGCTTTTGCAGCACCCTCGGTTTCCTGCTGAAGTCTGGTCACCTGCACATCGGGTTCTATCCATCATCCATGAGCCGTTGCATGGGAATTCAACAAGTTGGGTCGGCTCATTGCCTTAATTGCCTCTTGCCAAGTATGATTTACACTCTGCTTCTTCCTTCCCCTCAGACTGGGGCGGCATCCATCAATTTCCGAGTCCAAAGAGTCCTACGTCCTCGATGAACATCATGATTGCAGGGTCGATGGGTTAGCCCGTTGCCTGCTTAATTACCAGCATCGTCTTCAGCATCATCGTCGTCGTCGCGGTCATAATCAATCAATCAATCACCAGCACTACATCACTTGTCAGCTCACCACCATCACCTTCATCGTTCATCCACACCATCAGCATCGTCACTATCCTCTGCATAATGGCCAGCACCCCCCTCTCCCGGCACGGCGGTGATGACTCGTACAATGACCCAGTAATTTTTGGCGACGATGATCATCATCAGGGATTTCAAGATTTATCGTGATGGTGGTGATCATGACATGGTGATGAACACCATGCCACCATCAACCAACGTCATGGTTCCACGTTCAGGGATGGGCAGGAATGGGAAGAACAAGAGTACAGAAGCAGTTTTCATGCGGGTGCACATTGGCCCTCTGCTGGATTTCAGGCACCCTCCAAAGTCCTGCTCCTACTAAGAGAAGGCAGTTGACAAGGCATCCACCCGCGACACCACATGCCTGGTGCTATGCTGCGACAGAAGCACGGAAGTCCCCTGTCAGGATGTGTCGCGCAACAACCCTCCCACCCTTAACCATTGCGAGATGGTAGACCGAGGAAGAAGATGGATCATCCGAATATCGTGCGATTCAAGGAGGCGCACCGTGGCCGAGGGGTCCTTTTCGGCGTGCTCGGTGGGAGTGTCGGATCAAAATGAATCGCGGGGTAGATCCTAAAGACTAGGATCCCGAATGTGCGGATCCGTCGTCTTATGAGACCAGAAGCAATTTTGAATCACTGACCAAACTCAACCCAAGGCCGTCGGCCAATTGAAATCGAGTGCAGTGCGGCGGATGCAGGAAGCAGTGTCTAGGGATGAAACCCCATGCTCCGACTTCAGTAGCCCTCATCTGTACAGTATTCCTGGTCATCATTGTCAGCGGTTGTGGACATGCGCGAGCTATCTCGCACTCGTTTGTCTTGCACGAGCGTGGTCCTGCAAGCGTGTTGACCATCAAATTCCATGAGAGCCTCTAGCAGGGATTCCCTGGTGGAGCAGAAAGGAGAAGGATGGTTTATCATCGACGCGTGTGGGGCGTGCGGATACACTTCCGGGACGCTCTCCGGAGCCTCATGTGCTGGCACGGATCCTTTCGAGCCGTGCCTCGTGCTGCCCCTTCAGCATGCCCACTCCACATCCTTAACCCCCAAACATACCTGCATGTGACTCCGAAATTCATCATCTTGGCTCAAGACAAGACGGGCGAGACTCCGGGGGGCCCTGCTGTCATGGTCACCGGGCTGAGATCTGTGAAGGGTTGAGTTTCGGGCCTTCAGGCGCAGGCCTGGGCTCTAGGGTCTCTCAAGGTTCGGGCTCATGAAGCTTCAGGGGCCTCAGTGGTAGTGCGCTAAGGCCGGAAGAAACCGGCAGAAGGGTTGCAAGGGCTAGTGCTGCAGGGGGGGGCGTTTTCGAGCTTTGGGGAATTCTGCGAAGCAAACAAGGTATCAGAAACCTCTGCCCAGGATGCGCAACTTCTACCCGGAAGAGGCTCCCGGCTCTTCTTCGAACTCGCTCTGGGGTGTGGGCCAGGCTAAGCAGAGGTGTCGGAGTTTGTGTCAGAGATCATGTGAACTTATCATTGTTTTTCGGAAAATTTCCGCCGTAGATAACTGCAGCCACGACGACTGCGACAACCATAGCAAGCAGTTGCGCACAGCAGCGTCAAGCTTAGCAGAGACATCACGATGCCTCTCATCATGGTCATTATCTTGCTCATGATTCCTGATGATGCTCTTGATGACGATCATCATGTTGCTGTCACCGTCGTCGTCGTCGTCGTCGTCGTCGTCGTCGTCATCGTCACCATCACCATCACCATCATCACCATCATCATCACCGTCATCATCATCATCATCATCGTCATCGTCATCGTCATCATTCGTCATCATCATCTTCTTCTTCCCATCAGCGGGTTGTCTTCTTAGTGATGGGTCATCATCCTCCTCGTCACATCCATAACCATGATTTCAAGCGACGCATCATCGGCAAAGGTTCCCATATCGAAGAGGTGAGGATCATGTCCGGTTCCTCACCAACAGTCTCAGGGTAGAGTTTAGAGGGATCGAAGTGGGACTCTTGGGTTGGAGGTGGTGCCACGGGCGTCCATGCCCCGTCTGCGGGCCGGGCAGAGGCGTCAGGGCCGTGTTGCTGGTCTCGGGGCTTCGGGTTACGGTCACGGTTCGCTAGAGTTTGGTGTAATCAGTGTCTAGGTTCGCTAGAGCTCAGGCCCATTGGCAAAAAGTAGTCTTGGGGGCTGGTTGTGCTACTGAGCTGAAAAGCCTCAGCATGTCACTTAAGAGTCACTTACTGCAAAAACCCTGAAGACCACTGTAGGATCTTTTTGGAGTTCGGCACGGGTCCTCCAACTGGTGGAGCAGTTCTGCGAGGTATGGGGCTATATTCTGTATCAACTTCCCCCTTAAGGGTTCCATTGGAGGGTGCATGGTGCAGTGGCTCTTTAGCAAAAGGACCTCTCCGAATCCTGCACACCCGACAAGCTGCCAGGCTCCCGAATCTTCAGCTGAATTTCAGATGGCTCAAACGAGTCTCCTGTCCCGAATGCCACTCAAGACTTCAATGCCATAGCTACGGTTTAAGGTCTGGCTTGGGGTTTAGGTTAGCCCAAAATCCTCGACAAGCCCAAAGCCCGCTGATCTGCCCAAAGGCCCTGAAGACCATTGGCCGCAACATGGTCCGGGTCCCAGCTTCTGTGCTGCTTGCACGGAAGCCCAGTCTTGGCCTTTGGGTTTTGAGGAGGCTTTCCGGATCAGGACGTTTAGGGGTTGAGGGCCTTGAGGGCTCAGCCTTGAGGTTTCAGCTCTCCGGGCCCGAATAGGCCCTAAAGCCCGTAACCGTAGATCTTCAACTCTACACCTCACGTCTTCCTTTGCGTCCCTTCGCTGTTCCTGAGTGGGACGATGGTGGTGACGTTTAACCCGCAAGCTCTGGCGGCACCTCGTTCTTAGATTCTTGAGGTCCTCTCCGGCATGGCTGAGCCACCGCGGGATGGCCATGAGGCCGAAGATTGGGTTTGGGGAGTTACCAGGCCACCCCTTACTATTACCGAGTTTGGAGGCCTTCTTGCGGGCTTCATTGAGGTTTCCAGCGCCGTTCCAGCGCCGTAGGAGTAGATGCGTAGGAGCAAGCAGGGACCCTTGATCTAGAGGCCCCAAAGCGCCAAAGCCTGCTTCAACATCACCCACTCACCGCGGACGACAATGTGCTGATTTGAGTCGGAGTTCATTTTCCTGTGGACCCGAGCTGCCCAACCTAAACCCAAAGCCTTGAACCCTCGTGTAGATCAGCTGGTCAACTGGAATCACCAGGAGTGGCTGCAGCAGTGGACACGAGCCGGCTCCGTTGCGCCTTTTGCGACGGCACCTTTCGCAACGAACTACTTCGCAGCGCCGGCCTGCATTGAAGCAACGAGTGGTGCACGTGTAGTTGTAGAATTCATTCAGATGCTGACAGTTGTTTCATTCCATGCCATCTCGGCCCCATATTTCAATTGGGATTCTTGCTGTGCTCCTTCTTTGGCCTCTGTCTTTGAAGCGTGTCGGAGCTCCGAAGAAAGAGACGACCTGACGGACCCTCTATGAACCAGGTGCGAGAGGCCCCGGCCCATATGCAGTGGCACAACAAGGTGCAAGTGAAGGCGCTGGCACCCAGGGTTTCGGATTTGGGCTTCGTGGGAAGGTGCGGGCTCTCGAAGGCAAGGCCTTTGTGGCAACGTGTTCATTCAGACAGCTTAGGGCGCAGAGAAGTTCAGTTTGTACGACGCTGATGCGTGCTCTTGCGGGTGAGAGTCATGCGATAACAGACACGCCCTGCGCTGTAGCACCTCGGTCCTAAGCCCTGCCTCGGATGCCGTTCCTATATTTAGGATTATCAGGGTCTTTGCCAGGTCAAGGGCAATGGGCTTCTGCTTGTCGCGCATGTGTCTGGGTGTCAAAGCACAGAGTGTGGAAGGTTGCAATTTGTTTTTTCCATGGTCCTGAGTGGGCTTCTCCGGCTTATGACAGGGCCCAAGACTGCAACCCCTAAGTCCCGGGCCTTGAGACTTGAACCTACCTTATGCCCGCGTGCGCCTTGCCCTCCTTCCGCAGAGACCCTCAAAAGCCCCGGAGCTGAAGTTTAGAGCCCCCCGGCCCTAAGCCGTCAAAGAGTCCTCCAACCTCTCTTGCCAGCCATCGACCTTGACGGCACAGCGGGTGCTGAACAAGGGTGGAGCGGAGGTCCCGGCCTCGAGGTGATGAAGACTTTGGGCCTGACTTTAAACAAAAATGGAGTTGTTATACCGTTTATGTCCAAATGTGCTAAAGCAAACAGATCGCACTCCCGGTTTGGGCTAGTGTTGTTCCTGTTCGACCAACTCTAGCAGTATCGAAGATCCTGTGAGTGAGGTCTCCGGGTCCGGTCGTGAAAGAACCAGCATCCCAGTTTCGTTTCTTCGGAGCTTCTGTGCCAAAGCCTGAAGCTCCACATGGAGCCGCGGTTGTCCCAGGCTCTGATGTCGGAGACGGCGAAGGCGCTGGCAGCACATCCTCCGCAGGAGGCGTGGCGCCCTCTTTCTTCAGAGTACCAGTGGGCATGTGACCCCAAGGTGAATGTTCAGCCATGATCGTGCATGCCTCTGCATTCATTGGTCATCATGAGATATCGCCAAGCAACATGTTGCCGTACTTGCTGACTGCTGTGCTCTTTGGCTTGTGAGTGCACGCTGAATGCTACATCCGTAGATTCTCAAAATCTAGCCCCTGAATCCGAAAGCCTGGGAACCCTCAAGCCCCAAACCTCAAACCCACAAAATTAGCGCGGGCATAGCGAAGTTTGCAGCAACTGCAGGGCCTCCGCGCAGCTGGCGCACCTTCCGGCCGCACAGATCGCGATTTCGGGAGGCCGGACGAAAAGTGCATCTGCACGCACACTATCTCTATCTATGTATATACATACACACACACATACACACATGCATGTATACATAGATGTGGAGACATGCACATGCGAATGACAGAACAGCATTCATAGTCGTACCAAGAATGGTACCATAGCAGCAATACTATCAGTGAGTCAATGCCAGCAAGAAGAGCTTCCTTCCAGCCTCCCTTCTCAAGCTGCGCTCTCGCTGCAGGGTGGGCGCCCTGAACTGTGGACGTTTCTGACACGCCGAGCGTGAGCGGCCAGTTGCAGCCCGTCTCACCAGACTCCACGGCTCGTCAACTAGTGCTTGGTAGGATTTGCGGTTTCGGATTGGTTGGGTTAAGGCTTGCAGCGATCAGAAACAAGAACTAAGTCAAAGCCCTAGCATTCTATTTTCCGTTTTTGCCTCCCCTGCTTGCCAGCCAGTCGCAAGCCGCTCCACAAGCGTTTCTTCGATGCACCCCAAGGGTTGCCGAATCCGTGTCTCACGAGGCAGTAGGTGGTTGAGGTCGTCAAGCCCTCAACGCGGACATCAGAGCTCCCGGGCTCATTACGAAGAGGAGGAATTCAAAAACTGACTGGAGTTTCCGACTCCGCCCGGAGGTCTTCATCACCAGAAAGCACCGGCTTTGTATTGCCGCACCCTTACCTGGGGTCCTAAGCCGCACGGTGTCGAATGTGCCCAGAGTCTTGGCAGTAGGTACATCTCGGACAGCCTGCAAACGTTCGATGCTGCTACGCAGTCCTCTGCATGCCTGTGAATACGAGGAAGATCCGCTGGTGGTAGTGGGAACATGAATCGCAGTCTTAGGAATCACACCTTGAGGGGCGAAGTACCTGGCCCTTCGTTCAAGGTAAGAGGGGCTTTGGGCTGCAGCTGGAGTATGTCTGCTCAGGTGATGGACTACGCCGACGGTGGAGATGTCCATATGAAGATCAAGAGCCGGGAGGCGTGGATGCGGAACACTGCGCCAGACTGTCAATCCCGAGCCAAAGTGCCCCAAGCCGTGAACCGCAGAATCATCTAAACCCTGTTTTGCGGAGCTGTTAATAAGTGGCCGGTGAGGAGTTTTGATAGAACCATCACCTCTGTGAATGGTTTTTGATTCTGCCAGCCCCGTGAGAGTCGTAGTGTTGCGGTGGCGAGCTTTAGCCTTGTGACTCCTCCTCTTCTTCCCCTTCACTGCAGTGGATGGCTTGTCGCAGGGAATCAGCATGTTGACAAGCCATGAACCCTCATTAGACTCCAAGCCAGTCGGGATTCGCAGAATCGCAAGATGCTTAGAGCCAATCAGTTCCTAACTCGCCTGACCTGAGGGCGCGCTGCTGCCGGAGGAGACCCCCGGAAGCTGAGAAGCTCACCCCTCGATGCCCTCAGACGCAAAGCTTGTCGGAGTTCAGAGCTTCCTTGTTGGAGATTGCGGATTTCTTAAGTCCCTGAAGAAATAGTTGAGGAAGGAAGGGGAGAGGAAACCAGGGAGGGACGACGAAAGTGCCGGCAGCTAAGTTCATGAGTTACTGTTGCTGCATAGGTATACTGTTGTTTACACATGGTGTTATGAAAGAACAAACATTAAATGCATAAGTATGAAATGCATGAACACAAAGCAAGAAATAGGTGAGTGAGGAAGTAAGTAGGTGAGTGAGTGAGAGAGTGAGTGAGTGAGGAAGTAAGTAATTAAGTAAGTAAGTAAGTAAGTAAGTAAGTAGACATATAAGTAGATACACAAAAAACCAAGTAAAGAACAACATAACTACATACATGCCAAATAGCAACTAAATTGAGTAAAGAAAGAAACCCAAACTTAAGTACACAATTTGAAAAGCACAAATACATAAGTTTCATCAAGTACAAGTATGCATCCATGCATACATAGTAAATAAATAGATACACAAGTAAAGAAGCACATGCATAATCATAAACACATACATACAGAAAATAACAATACAGATAAATACACAGATAAAAGTCTACATACATACATACATACATACATACATACATACATACAAATATATATATATACACACACATACATGCATACATTCCAGAGCAGACAAAAATCACACACACACACAGTGAACAAGCAAGGCAGCTACAAACATAGACAGGTAGGTAGGTAGGTAGGTAGGTATTTAGGTAGATAGATAGATAGATAGATAGATAGATAGACAATTTCAACATAATCACATAAGTACACGCACTATACATACAGCAAAAGAACAGAAGCACATGTGTATACATACACTAAACCCAACTATACATTAGCAGATCCCAAGCAGGAGCAAATCCTGGAATGGTTCGTGCAGACCTGCTTTGCACTGAAGCATGTGCACGAACGGAAGGCGATTTCACAATGCAGTCAGGTCTTCCTTGTCTAGGGTTTGGGACGTTTTTGCAAGTTTTAGTAGGAGCGGGGGCCCTACATAGTGTTAAGGTTTTCCCTGTCCAGTACTGTGGAGTATGGGCAAACCGCGTCCCGGTCACAGCACAGAGTTGTGGACCTGTGGTTTAGGCTTGGCTTACCATGTTCAGCAGCAACATGACATTCGTCACGTCCACCATCATGATCATGCACCTCCTCCTCCTCCTCCTGCTGCTCCTCCTCCTCAACCACTTCATCATCGTAGTCGTTGGCGTTCTTACTGCCATAGCCGTCGGCGTCATTGTCGTAGTGGCCGGCGTCGTACCTGCAGTATTGTATCCCCGTCAGCATCATTGTCATCGTAGTTGTCCCCATCATCGCCATCGTCATCGTCACCATCACCATCATCAACATCATGTTCATCCTTCCAGCTCTAAGCGCCTTTCAACAACGATCACAGAGCGCAAAAATACAAACCAAGTTTCGATTTTCTAGCATCCGCAGGGAGCTCCCAATCGTCCCAACCTTGATCCAAAGCTGCACAAGACAGAAAAGCTCCACACCCTCCAGGTCCACCCCAAGCACTTCACCGCAGGTCTTGCACCGAGACCTGAAGACGCAGAACATTTTCCTCATGTCCAATGGTGCGCTGGGCTTTGGGGGTCGGATTGGGGGCTCGGGTTGTGGGGTAGCTGGAGCTTTGAGCCAGCGTTGGAGCTCTGGGAGGACTTCGGCTTTGCCAGAGTTTCCAAAAGAGGCACCCTGACAGACTACTGCCCTCTTGGAGGGGGGGGGGCCTGACAATCTGAATCTCGGAGCTGCCAAGAATGAATCTGAAGCCCTGCATCTCAAGCCCATGGACCTCCCCAAGTCATACCCCACGCAGGACATGTGAAGCTCGGCGACTTCGGCATTGCGAGGGTATTGGATGCCACCAAGGCCAGCAGAATGGGTAAGCTAGGCAAGTGCACAAATCTGCACACTCCAAGCCCTGCAGAAAGCCGTCATGTACTACTTGCGTTTCATGTTGCAGTACACCCCGAGCCAAACAGAACGCCAGACACCTTGAAAGCTTTGAAGACCTCACGCCTCACATGTCTGAATGCAGGACTACGCGAGAACCATGGCGCAGTTCCCAGGAGCTGCATTAGAAGCAGCCAACCATCAACTTCATACCATCCCAAACCTTGAGCCGCCCTGTAGCATCGCTGAAAGCCTCAAAAAGAAGTTGCGGGAGAAGTGCAGCAGCCGTAACTACAAGTGGGCCTAAGTGCCCGAAACTCTCCCAACCCACGAACCACGGTGCGCTTTCTGTCGCCGACCTTAGAACTGCATCATTCAGGGTTTAGGGCAAAGATCACTACGTGCCCTTGGGCTCCTAACCTAAAGATCACATAGAGTGAACAGGTAATGTTAGGAATGGATCTTGATGCTTTCACGCTCGGTTTTCTCGCGATTCACTCTTCAGCTCGATTTTAAAGGCCTTCGAACAGACAGAAGTGCTCAGCTCAACTCACGTAGGGTTTAGGGGGCTCGACATCGACGCACACCGAGGTGGGTACGCCCTACTACCTTAGTCCAGAGATCATCGAGGAGCGCGGTGGTACGGTGGGGTCGGTGAGGGCCGTCGTAAACCGCGGAAAACCAAAGACAGGACGTCTAGATTTTTTTGTCTCGAACCCAGAGCCGGGGTTTGCAGCAGGATCGTCCCTACAACTTCAAAAGTGACATTTGGAGTTTGGGCGTGGTCCTCTACGAGGTGCGCGCCTGGCAGAGAGTCTGCCGAAGCTCCAAAGTGTTGATTTCACCTTGTCTCTGCTTGTTTGGGGCCTGGAGCTTGGACCATGTTCCTGGCCGTTGGTTACATTCGTCTGGGGGCTCGCCCCAGCCGTGCGATCATCTCACGAACGGACTGTCTAGCCATGCTGCAGGTAACTCATCCTTTTTTTCGCGATACTCTAGACCCTGCACGAAGCGCAAGGGGTTTAGGGGTTTAGGGCCCAAAGCCTTAACAGACTGTGGGATGCCAGCCCTCCCCTAGTCCTGAACCTCAGAATCGAACAGCCTTCTTGCCGTTATGCCATACTAGAAGCCTAAGCTCCTGAATCCCAGACCCTAAAGCCTGTACCCTAAAGCTTTACTGCAGTCCAAAACCCTCCTACAACCCTAAACCCCATAACCTCTATGCCGTAAACCCCCCCCCCCCCCCCCCC